AGCAAACTCAGGGAGGCAGTGAAGGACAGGAAGGCCTGGCGCAATATGGTTCATGGGGTCACGAAGAGTCGGACACGACTTAACGACTAAACAACAACAACAATTTTTCACATTCAAAGGAAATAAATTTCCTGCTTTAATTGTTCAACATGCTTTTTTGTTGTGAGTGGAAAAGTGTTCAAGTTGTAAACTAAATATCACTGTTGGTTTTAAACATATAGCTGTTTAATTTTTCCTTCTTGAAGGGATGTTCGGCGTTTGGTGGTTGCTATGTCAAGAGCCAGGCTTGGTCTGTATATATTTGCAAGAGTGTCGCTATTCCAGAACTGCTTTGAGCTGACTCCAGCCTTCAGCCAGCTTACTGCTCGCCCTCTTCAACTGCATATAATCCCTGCAGAGTATTTTCCAACACTTCGTCAGGTACAACTAGCTATCCTGAATTACATATATGGCATATGGTGTAAGAACTTAAATTTATCTGTTTAAAAACATATCTATCATTAATATTATATTAGTTATTTTATCTGACTTAAGAAGTGCTCTTCCATTGTTTTAGTTTCAGACTACTCTAACTACCATTTTCTTTCTTTCCTCAGAATGGAGAACATCCATCTCATCAAGTTCATGTTATAAAGAATATGCCTCTGATGGCCAATTTTGTGTACAACATGTATATGCATATGATCCAAAGTACACACCAACATCGACAGGTAAAGAAATAAAAGTTAAGAAAGACTTTTGTTTAATTTAAATGCTCTGAGTTAAACCAGTTAATAATTTCTGATAACAAACGAATTTACACAGAGTTGAAAATTAATTGACACAGTTGATTTTATTTTTAATAAGTCTCTTTTGCTTTGGGTAGCTGTAAACAGTATAACCTAATCTGGAGGACAGAAGAGAAAGAGAGTGGCACGTACTGTACTTTTGTGAATCAGACAAAACTTGACTGAAAATGATACTTAACATGCAGAAAGTTGACAAAGATAAATTTTATTCATCTTCCATAGCAGTAGAATCCAATTATACTGATTGACAGACAGTAAAATCAGTACAGAAAAAGGAATGGCAGCTCAGATAAGATTGCTCAGTTTACTGGATTTAAACATTAGTTTAATTAACATTAGTTAATTAAAAGCATCCTAAATTTACCTCATACCTGTATTATAAGTTGAGAGAGGAAGCCATGTATATGAACTAAGTTCATTTATATCTTGATAAACCATAATTCAGTTAACCTCTGAAAATAGCTGTTGTGTGGGAAGTATAACACGTATATATTAGCTGTTGATTCATGATATGTATAAATAAAAGTTGACAATGCATACTACATGTTTCATCCTTTTAAGGCCCTCACATTCAACTGAACACAAACCTTCATTCTGAAACGAGTTAATTAAAAACAAGCAAATAAGAAACAATATTCTGTTATGGAGAAAAAAGAATAACAGTGTGATGTCTTTTTATGAAGAAATTATTACTTGTGCAAAATTAACTTTGGCATCCACTAGGGTAGATTTGTTGATATGACTGGGAACTCCTGTGACTAATTATTGTGAAGGGAAGCTCATTTTATTCTTGCTCTTGACACTATATGCAGCCAGCTAAACTTGTTTGTACAAAGCTCATTCCCACAGACTTGGAGATGCTGTAGTGTATTTTCAATTGTACTGTTAAAATGTTATTTTTAACATCATATTAGTTTTCTTACAAAAAGAACTGAATGACACTAATCATATATGGTAGAAATTGTACCAGCTGCATCACAGAAGGAGTCCCAGTTTGTATCCGGCAGATAAAAATATATATTTAGCCAAAGACAAAGGAATCCCTAATTTGAGAGGCTTAGATTTTCTGAATGTCTATAATTAGTCTACCAAAAATATCATTTTGGACCACATATTATGATACCCAGATATAGTCATTTCTAAGTTTGGGTGCTATTCTTCCAGTTGGTCAGTGCAGCATTAAATTTATATACGGCTGTCAGAAGCATTAGTTAAATAGATAGAATGTTAGCTTAATTCCACATTTAAATTCTAGTGTAAATGAGAACTCCATTTAGAACTATGAAAAGGAATTTTGGGGATGCAATGTATTCTATCTTTCCAGTATCTGATAACAGAATGTCCTCCAATCCCATTCCTTGATGTCAGAAAGAAAGATAAGATTGGAGAAAGGCACATAGCAATATTTAATTTTTATTAGCCTGTTTTCATCTTGTGTCAACAGATACACTAAAGTTTTATTGTAGCCTTAACTCCTTTCTTCTAAAGGCCTGCTTCAATATGTTTTCTTGTTGCATAAGCAGGGAGTTAGGAATCATGTTTATTCCATCCTTCCTTTGCTCCCTTCTTTACGTACATAAAGTAACTGAAGAGGGAGATCCATGTGGAACTTCCCAATTCAGTTTTACTTTTAATGTATAACAAAGAGAGACAGAACATTAAATCTGAAGAGAAAAAACTGAACAGACTCATAGTACATTACTACGAAAAAAACAACAACATGATTCATGCTGCAGTTCTCATTCTTGGAAGTAATTCCATTGAATTTCTGGAACTTCTCAATAGGTTAGTAGGGGTTTGTGTGTTAGGTTAATTGTCAGACTAACTATTCTCTTCTTCAAACTGCAGCAATAACAAAAACTGGTTTCATTAAGTAGCATGTAATAATTCACAGAGTTTCAGCATACTCAAAATGCTTGCTTGCTTGCTTGCTTGAATTTTCTTTAATCGTAAAGCATTCAAGAATTCTGAATCATCTTAAACCTATAGCAAACTATGTAATGTCTTTCACTTATAAAATTGCTAATAAAAGAATTCTGTATTGAGGATATTGTATAAATTAAAATTTATTTATTTCATTAAATTTATTATAGCTGCCCACTCCAACAGACTTTTAAAATAATTTTAAACAAGTTATATGAAATAATTTGTCAGTATCAACATCTGATTTTGTAACTAGTGTAGTTTATATTGATAGATTTTATTTATTTAGTATAGCTGTGTACACCTAAGTTTGATCTGTGTTATGTTGAAATTGTGCATAAACAAAACATATTTTCCTAATTTTTTTTTCATTGTAGGATTTATTACCTCCTCCAGAACTTGTTGAAGAAAGTGAAATATCCATACCTCAAGAAAGTGAAGTTATTCAGAGTAAAGAATGTGAAATGGAAATAGAAACTGAAATAAAAGCTAGATCAGTGGATACTATAAAAGAGAGTGTTTTGGATGAGAAACCAAAGACAACAGAGGAAAAAGAGGAGCATCGGAAAATGCCTGAACATCCTGGAAGAGATAGTGACAGTGAAGATAGTGAAACAGAAGTTGATGCTGATAAATGAACATTGCCTTTTTGAGTCTGAAAAAGGAGTTATGAAAAGATGACCATAGATGCCATGTGTATCCACTACCTTAGTGGGTCAACTGCTGTAAATATTAATGATACTTCAGATTTCATTTCTTTCTGCCATGAATATGAAATGAACCATTTGTATGGTTGTAATCAAGGACCATAGGCACAATGGCATCACATTTTTACAGTATGTGTATACAGTGTATTTAGTAAAGCATTTTTAAACTATTGTTCTGAGTCTTTTTTGGTATTGAAAAAACTTCTGCATTTTCATGCATGTATTTTTTTTCAGATAAGATGTTACATAGTTAATTGATAGTAATAATAATTTAAAAACACCATAAGCTCATGCTTTCACACATAGGCAAACAGATCAAGCTTCTCTAAACCGGTACCTGCCAAGTGTGTTGGGATTCCCCCTCTCAGACTCATGCTGGCTGGGAACTTTAGGTGATGCAATTCTGGAAAAAAAAAATTTGGTTGGGCAAGAAGACAGGAATAGATCATAAGATACTTGCTTATTGCTTTTATTTCAGTGGTACACCAGCATAGAACAAACATAGCAATCATTCTAAAATAAAAGGTGTAAAATATATTAATAAAATAAAATAAAAAATATTAACATGAAATTACAAAATTGAAAGTATAAAACCAAAAAACCCCTATAAAATTATTATCTATAGTCTAAATTCTATAAATGGTTAAGCTAGTTAGCAGTAGATAAATGCATAATAAATAGTTTAAGACATTTATTTAAAAATAAATATTTTTATACAATTAGTTTATTTTAAAAAAGAGAAATAAAGGATTATGAGATATATTGAGTTATAATAATCTAGACAGGGCTCAACATCACCTTACCTGGAGGAGATAATAATATTGTTAGATTGTGCCACTATAAAAATGAAAAAAAAATGTTTTTTGCTAATAATAGAAGTTTAAATTGCATGTTAGACTGGCTTTTTCTACCCTGTTCCTGGTTAATAATTTTCTACTAGGAGGTTTTTTGTTTGTTTGTTTGTTTGTTTGTTTTTGATATGTGTGTGTGTTTTTTAAATCTGGAAAAGCATTCCGTTTTCCCATTCCTGCTGACTGAGGAAGTGCATTCCTAAAGGAAAGTTGTTGTTCCTGTCCCAGTAGAGAAGTAACAATGATATAAAAGTAAACATTAGAATTGCCTACAATTCTGATGTCATACAATCCACAAACTGGCACTGAATAATCCTGTGCAGTATTAAGTAAATGAGTGGTATACTACTAGAATAAGTGTTTTGGCACATAATTCTACGACTACAATGCCTTAGGGTAAATATGTTCCAAAGGTGCTTGCCGACAGGACTATGTCACTACACTGCAAAAAGTAACCATTTTAAGAATAATAATTTTTCAAGTTATATTACATTTTTGTAATATTTTGTATATTACAAGTTTGCTAGCTTTTCTAACAAAACGTATATGAAATAGCATGCCTAGAGAAAGATGGAACAGAAGATTTTGCTGTATTAAATAGAGGATAACGTTCTCACCTATTAATGAGGATCAATTCTTTCTGATTAAGTTACACAATAACCAGTGTTGTTATTTAGCAGTCTCTAAATCATTATAGAATTGTATTACCAAAGTAAAAACAATTTGGTTCCTTAAGTGTTATCATGAATAAAATAAGCCACAGATTTTTAACTTGTCCCCAAGAGAGGCTTTATGGTACAGAGCATTGAGATCTGGTGATAACAGTTTCATAAACTAACATTCATAATACGATGAATGGCAGAAAAGCCTTCTGGCAACATGACCAGCTCAGCTACAGAACATCGGCTTTCTAACCTATTTTCTAAAAATATTCCAGTGTCTAACTTATTTGTGCTTTTTAATAAAAAATCAATCCAAATACTGGCAGGAACAGCTGCTGATTATTATATGTATTTTAAGAAGGAACTTGAGATATTTTAGGTAACTGGTTTTAATATGTCTCCAAATAAGATTGTCAATGAATACAATAAATGGGTGAAAGATTACAGATTTTTTTTTTAATTTCTAATTGTGCTGGCTCTGTCACTGCACATATTTAGCAACTGGATATACCGAGGAACCTATTTAAGGTTCCTAACCTAACCTCTTAAGCTGATTTGAAGTCCATGCTGAGGACATCAGCATTTATATTAGAATTTGACAAGCTAATAGCCTGCCAGGAGTGGTTGGGAATATAAGGCATACTGCTAGGAAACGAGAATGTGAGAAATTTATTCATTTAGACTAGGAATGGGTGATTCCTGACTTCCAGATACTGCTTTGGTATTTCTCACCATTAGCCATGCTGGAAGCCCCCAAGTTCCCCACCTATGATTCAGACATTTGTTTTTCTTTCAATTGCTGTAAAGAATATCCAAGGTTAGATCTAAAATTGAAACAGAATTACATTTCTGTCTACATGATACTCACACTGTACAGTCTCCAGGTGAAAAGCTCTCTAATAATAAATGATTTCACACTGCCCTCTTTACTGGAGATAAGGCAAAAAGGCCTGCCCATATCAGCTCTAAATTCCTAGGCTCCAGAATAAGAGTAGTCCTGTTATGCATCGTGAGGCGCTTCAGCATTCTGCTGCTTAAATCTGACATCTCTCTATTGTCAAAAGATCTATTTTTAGATTGATAGTCTGTGGAAATGGAATGTTTAATTACTGCACTGTAAAGGGAAAGGCATGGAGGATGGGGTGGGATGCTACTTTCAAGTACTGTTCTAAGGGCAAGAGAAAGGGTTCAAAGGGTGCTTCTTAAAGAGTTAACAGTTAACTAATACTCTGAGTTCCATATTAGTGTGTGATGCCAAGTCTATAAACAATTTTTAAATACAACATAACTAAGTGTCAACATTGCTAAAAGTTCCCATGTATCTATTTCACTATTATAACAAATTAAACTAAGGGTTAAAAATTAAGTGCATCCTTGATTACATGCACAACATGCTAACCCATGATTACTAAATTCACCCATTTTCTGGGTTTGCACAACACAGTCCTGAACTAATAAGTTGGGTTAAGATTGCCTAAGCTGCTAAGCTAAAATGTGGTTATTGTTCAATGTTTTACTCAAATGAAGTCAATGGCTAGGAGGCAAGACTGACCTAAACTCAGTAGTGGCCTCAAATGCTTTTACCATCCTGTGTAAGTGAATGGTTGCTGTTTCATTCTCAGGAAAATGCTGCATTGAAGTTTGGAGACCTAGCCCTTATTATGGAAATGCATTGCACCCAACTGGATCTCAAACAAGCATAATGATGAGCTTTTTGCTAGTTCACAATAATGCTGACGTGTAACTAGCCTTCTGGTCATTTTGTATCAGATGGAACAAGGTAAGTATGAATATTTTCTTGCACATTTTGCCTATAAAACATCAGGACTTAAAGCTGCACCCCTTATATAGTGTTTATATCCAGAAAACCTATTAAGATATTTTTTTATTGATTATGTGACATCAAGTAGTTGTCGAATCTTAGCGACCACATAGATATTCTCCAGGATGATCTGTCCCCAACCTGGTCCTTCAGGTCTTCCAATGGTGCACCCATTGCCACTGTAATTGAGTCCATCTGCCTAATTGCCAGTCATTCTCTTTCCTTCCACGTTTCCCAGCATTGTAGACTTCCCCATAGAGCTAGGTCTTTGTATAATGTGTTGTATAATGTGTTGTATAAAGCATGATATCCAATAATTTCTGCTTTGAGTGAGAACTTTGGGTTGTTTTGTTTGATGATTCATTAGTTTGTTTTCTTGGCTATCCATGGTATTCTCAGGAGTCTTCTCCATTATCCTCTTTCAAAACGCTCTTTCTATCCTGCTTCTTCAAAGTCCAGCTTTCACTTCCACACAGTATCACAGGGAAAACCATTGCTTACATGATTCTAATCTTTATAGGTATAGACAGATTCTAGCATCAGAATATCTTTTCCAAGGCCTTTGTGGCTGCTCTACCAAGTACAAATCTGCAGTGTTTTTCTTGACTGCTGTCAAGAAAAGGAATAATTGGAAAATATTGATAGTTGATCCTAAAAGGTAGAAGCTATCCACTGTTTCAGTATCTTCACTATCAATTCTAAGGCTGAACCTGTTGGCATTAGTTTTGTCTTCTTTATATTTAATCTTAGTCCCATTTTTTCACTGTGCTCCTTGTCTTTTATTACTAGAGATTGCAGATCATCTGCATTTTCAGCTATCAGAGTAGTGTCATCAGCAAAACAGGTTATTGATGTTTTGATGATTAATCAATTTTAAAACCATGTTCATCTTCTTATCCAGCTTCCCTCAATATATGTTCTGTATATAGGTTGAAGAGAGCCACTTTGGTGTAGTGGTTAAGGCATCAGGCTAGAAACTGGGAGATTGCAAGTTCTAGTCCTGCCTTAGGCACAAAGCCAGTGGGTGACCTTGGGCCAGTCACTCTCTCTCAGCCTTAGGAAAGAGGCAATGGCAAGCCACTTCTGAAATCTTGCCAAGAAAACTCCAGGGACTAGTCCAGACAGTTGCCAGGAGTCAACTCTGACTTGAAGGCACCCAAAACAAAACAAAAGTTTGAATAAATAAGGGGAGAGTATACAGCCTTGTTTTACTCCTTTGCCATCCTGGAGCCAGTCTGTTTCACCATGTTCTGTCCCTACTGTGTATAGATTTCACATAAGGATAGATTTCACATGAGGATAATGAGATGTTCTGAGAATCCCATTTTAATAGGACATTCCACAGCTTGACAAGATTGACATAATTGAAGGCCTTTTTAAAATCAAGCTTGAACATTTGGCATCTCCCTTTACATCTAAGGTTCTAATCTGCATTGGTACTCTCCCCATTCCTCTTTAACATCTACACGAAGCTACTATCCAAGGTCATCTGATGGCACTGGGTTAGGTATAACCAGTATGCTGATGATACTTAGCCTTACATCTCTAACCCTGGCCACCCAAATGATGCCATGGACGTTCTGCTTTTGTTTCTGGAGATTGTGTTTGGATGGGGAACAACAAACCTCAGCTCAACCCTAGCAAGACTGAGTGGCTTTGGGTATTAGAACCACCTTGTTTTGGGGACTTTCCATCTTTAGTTCTGGATGGGATTGCATTACCCCAAATAGAACTAGTGAGCAATTTGAGGGTCCTCCTGGACTCATGGCTTCAAGGAACAAGTGACAGCTGTTGCAATGATGGCCTTTGCGCAATGTTGTGTTGTATGCCCATTCC